GTGATCTACACCATCACCAAAAGACCCAAGAGAAACCACAACACTGCAGATGTCTTCATCGTGAGCCTCTCCATCACAGACCTCCTGTTCCTGCTGGGCATGCCCTTGCTTATCCACCAGCTCCTAGGGAATGGGGTCTGGCTTTTCGGGGCTACCATGTGCACCATCATCACTGCTTTAGATGCCAACAGCCAGTTCGCCAGCACGTACATCCTCACGGCAATGGCCATCGACCGCTACCTGGCCACAGTACACCCCATCCGCTCTGCCTACATGCGCACCCCCTGCACAGCCGCCCTGGTGATCTTGCTGCTCTACCTGCTGTCTCTCCTAACCATTGTGCCGGTGTTCATGTACACCCAGCCCATTGTTCTGCCTGGCAGCAAAGCTGGGTGTGGCATCATCCTACCCAACCTCTCAGTTGATATCTATTGGTACACGCTGTACCAGTTCTTCCTGGCCTTTGTCATCCCGCTTTCAGTCATCTGCATTGTGTACCTCAAGATACAGAAGCACATTTCATGCAAGGTGCTGCCGCTGCCCCAGAGAAACTTCCGAGCCAGGACTAAGAAGATCATGCGGATGGCAATAACCATCTGCTCTGCCTTTTTTATCTGCTGGGCGCCCTATTACATCCTGCAGTTGGTCCATCTCAAAGTCACCCAGCCCTCCATTATGTTCCTCTATGCCTATAATGTAGCTATCAGCTTGGGTTACGCAAGCAGCTGCATCAACCCATTCATATACATTGTATTGAGTGACACTTTCCAAAGGAACCTGGTGAAGGCAATCTGCCCAGGCCAGCAGGCCAGAAGAGGTGACAGACATGCCCCTGGGAAAGTCAGTCCCTCTGTGAAAATAAGTCCTGGGCCAAATCAGGAGACCGATCTTAGCATGACATACGCTCATAATATAGACAATGGTATCGCTCTCTCGGTCATGGTTCCTTAGAGGTAACCTGCCTGATTTAGCTGAGTGATGGCTAGGTGGTACAAATAGGTGTAAAAACTTTTTGAGGTTGTAGACAAAAAGAAGGGGTTAGCCTTGTCTTAAGGCACACATCCAGGAGTAATGGGGTGAACTGGAGAACATCATTGAGGCTGACTATAAAGAATTCCTTACAGCGAGACCTGCTCCAGGGTGGGATGATAACTGTGTAAGGGATGTACTGGAAAGACCATTGCTTGAGTCACGGCCACTAAAACCTGACTTGACAAAGCACCCAAGAGTACATTGAAGGGAAGGATTCAGCACTGGCCAATGTCGCTCTTATGCACCTTTAAGGTCTCTGGTTCGGTTGTTATGGAGCTGAAGCTCATTGAACACCCACCTGGCTTTGGGAAAAGTGTATTTTCGCCTTCCTCCGCAGCATGGGG